AGATATTTGATAGCATAATGGTTTGTATATACTTTAACCTTAGTAGCTATGAAGTAAGACATAAATTAGTCAAATGCAAATACTATAGCTAACAATTCTTTTTGGTGGTAGTGTAGTTAATTTGGGCATTAGTAAAAGTTTTGCTTTACTTGAACTCTAGCCACAAACCTCATCCCCGCATTTAATGTTCCATATTCAACCCAATTTTTAGTAACTTTGAATCCAATTCTGACTCTCATTGGGCTCTCCAAGGCCATGCCATTATTGACTGCTTGTTCCCCTAAAGCTCTATCAATTTACAAATTTTACAAGTAGTCTTTCCTGTCATAAATTTCTTGTTGGGCCTTAGGGTGAGTGAAGTCGACTGAGAAGTTAGCTCGTGCCTGAATGATCAGGTTTAAAAGTATTGTTTTTACTGGGTGGAGGATGACGAGTTGGATTGAACTTGTTTGGAAATAAGTTTGAAGTCACCAAGCTATCACCATACCAATATTTCCATGATTGGATGTCTCAACCCAGCACTTTAAGATTTTTGCTCGCTTAGTATACTGGCCACTCATTTTTTGCCTCTTCTCGAACTAACATAGAGCTTACAATAACTTCTTCCACTCGAGGTAACTAGAGCAAGACTTCTCTTGGCCGTGGGCTTTGCAAAAATGGGTAGGAGGTGATGAGGGACTCTAGATGCAAATTTGCATTTTTTGCTCCATGCAAAATACTTTGCATTCAAAATTTTGAAGAAGCGCAAGCACTTATCCTCCAACTTTGAGGTAAAGTGACTGAGCCGGGTGACTCCCCTTATCACTTGTTGCATTTCTTTAGGGGTCTTTGGGGAAGCCATCTCTAGTATCACCTTTACCTTGTTTAGTTTTACTTTGATATCATCTGGGGTTAGTGGAATCCCTATAACTTCTTTGATTTAGCTTTGTAGGTATAGTTCAAAAGGCTGAGGTGCATGTTATATTTTTTCAGTGTTGCAAAAGTTTCTTTCATGTCATGAATGTACCATTTTTGGGTCTTGTTTTACCAATATGTTGTATATATTTAGTTTCACATTCTTTCCTACTGGTATGTGAACACACGGTCCATTGTCCATATGGTAGGTGGCTCCAGAAATTTTCAAGTCAAATGATATAACCATATGGCATAGCAAGTCTTTCTTGGTAATATAAATCGTATTCTTGTAATTGGTTAGATTAATTTTTATTTAGTGATAATTAGTATAAGCATTAAACAAGGTCATCACAGAGAAGTCAACTGCAAGCGGATTAACACATGTTTTTTGAAAGTGGGTAGCCATGCTTCTTTAGGCAAATATGGTTTCAGTTGGGGAAGTGCACATAAATTTGTCGCTTGAAGCTTAACTTTTGTATCATCATTACATTTGACATCCAGTAGGGATATTGAACTTTAGTTATGAATATGAACTTGAGTAGCTTATTTACCTCTTACTTTATAAGTTTGGCCAAGGTCATGGTCTTCTTTTTGATTTTATGCTTGACAAGCTGCCCTCCTTTCTTACATCCAGCCTATGACATGCATATTCACTCTTGGCAATTTAGTTGTTATCCAAGCTAATACCTTGATATCTTCTCGATCACTCTCTATGTTCAGAGCTAAACCAAGTGCTGATTTGGAGATCTCAATGACACGAACTTCCTCTTCTGCTTCAATGGTCTCTAGACCAAGCCCCATTAACTTCTAATTGCAACATGTATTATTTTTGTATAGTTACTTCGTAGTAGAAATTCCTTGATTACTTAAAATCTCCCTTTGTTGTGATTTTTCCGCCTTTCTGTTGACAATTTGACTGCGACATGATAAGTAGAGGTCATGCCTAAAAGTGTTGGTCTCCCAAAATTGCATCATAAGTTCTAAGGAATTCTCTATAACAAAGTCAGTCATAATGGTGCAATGCCTTTCATTCATCTTCATTCTTCATAGAATTCAAAGAGTGGGCTTGTAGCTTTTATCAAATAAGCTGCATACGAATTGGTCCTATTAAATATCCCCTTGAAATTTTTTAACAAACTTCTAGCGTTAACGTGATTTTGATCTGATAGTTTGTTATTGAGGCAGTGACAATTGCTGCGTCGTCAAAGTGGTTCCCACTTGTTGGCCTGTCTTCTTTCAATGTGATTGGTGATGGGATGCTTCTACCCTTACTCCACATAGGATGGCCGGTATTATCTTAGCGTTGTTGATAATTTTGGCTTGAACCAGTTCACTTTTCTGCCCACCCATCGGCTCCTTCCCTTTTCTCCTTCCGTGATTGGCCAAGATGAACTTCAACGTTTTTGCCTTGATCAGCTCTTTCATAAGTTTCTTAGATGGTGGCAGTTTTTTCATGCCATATCTATGGTCTCTATGAAACACAATATTTTGAGGTAACCGGTGCTTGGGACCTTGTCCTCATGGGCTCCAGGCACGTTATAAAATTCTTATATTGTATGGTCTCTATTATTTTTGCCTTTGACACAATTAGCATGGTTAATGATGTGTTAGGGGTGGTCTTTATTCATGTATCGTCAAGACAGTAGTAGTGCTTTCTTATTCGTTCAGATGATAGGTGGGCCAATGACTCTAGTTGCTTTTCCGGCTGTCATGTCCTCTGACGGCTATATGGTTGATTTTCTTTCCAATCTTTTGATCAGGGGGTAGCTTTTATCATTGTTTGTGATTCACGAAAAGTCTTCTTATTGGGGCATCTCTTAGGCAACTTGGGGCTCGGCTATGCTATAGCATTAATATGGCTATTGGCAGGCAAGTTTTAGTTACTCTACCTATGATTTTGATTTCTACAGGCTAAGGTTGAATCCAAATGACCTTCCTGTAAACCTTAGGTGATAGTGGCTTTTTTAACTGTAAATTTTTTTTCT